CCCTTGAATTACACAGTAAGTAGAGGAATTTGTAGATTAAACCTAGACACTATTTTGATACCAGCATCCCTACTCTTTGTAGAAACTTTGCTGCTTTGTACAATCTCAGTAATGATGTCTTTGAATATAAAGACAAAGTTATAATTGTTGCAGGAAAATGGGGCACGAGAGGGTGGTCACACCCCAGGTCGTGGGCAAGTCTCTGGGATGTGCCCCGCCAAGTGAGGGTCCTTGGCTTCCCGCAAGAAAGAATTCAAGAGTGAGCCAAAGCAGAGCAAAAGTAGATTTCCAGGAATTGAGCCACCACCCACTGTTTGGCCTTTTATGGTCAGCATCGGAACTGTCATGGGTCGTTCAGGTGTGCCATTTAGCATGTTAATGTATTACAATGAGTGTATAGTGAGGCTCAAGGTCAACTGGAAGTGGAATCTTCTGCTATCTTGGGCTTCACTGGTTCCACTTTTTGTCATATCCTCAATGGCTATGTCATTCTGTCAATGGTTGTGCTCTGCCTCCTTCACTCCTGTCTCATAATCAAAAGTTCTCTGAAAACTGGTTCGTGAAATAAACCACATTATTGTTTGTGGATAGTAGCAGTGGATTTAGAGTCTTCTTTTTCATTAAAGACCTATAGGAACAGATCAACTATAGTTTAGGATTTGGGGGTCAATAAATTACCACTATGTGCCAAGTTCTATTGTAAGGGATCTATACTTTCAAATACCACTAGTTAGTCACTAAATTTCAATGACTGACAGAATTCCAATGTAGTCAGAAAATATACGGAGGTAAGCACTGTGCTAAACACTTTTTAACTTTTTTTTTTATTCCCAGTTGAGCCATGTAACAGCCTTGTAAAGAAGATAAGTATTACATTTTAGGGATAAGGAAATTGTGTGGTATTAAATAACTTTGCCAAGGTCATAAATTATTAGCTTTCAGAGTCACACATAGACTTAAGTCTGTCAGGCTTTGAAATCTATGCTTTTAATCACTGTGCTATAAATGGGAAAAACAACTATTAAGGAAAATCTCAAATCCAATTGAACCATTAAGTCCATTCCCATGCATCCTTTTGGCCTGTCTCAGAGAAAGGAGCCCATTGACACCTTTCCAAGTTTACTTTCAACCTCTTTGGCCCTCAGTCTCGTTATTGTAGTGGCTTCTTAAATAAAACATAAGATTTTACAAATTTGGGAAGAAAATTTCCTCCCCCAAATAATGAAGCTAAAGAAACTAACAATCAACAAATTGATACAGAAATGACTTCAATGTGAAAACATCTAAACATGACTTATCTGACTAGTGCAAAGCTTTAAGAGTCAGCTGCCACAGCCCCATCTCCAGGGAGGTCTTCAGTCAGGCCACTGACCTTGGGCACCAAGACATTTCCAAACAATTGTACCAATAACACTCACCGGAACCTTCCATTCTTTGAAGTTCTAAACCACTCCCCACTGTTTCCATCTTATTAAGCCAGTGTGTTAATCTTAACCTGTAGCTACCCTGGGAGTTACTCTCTATATCAGGTATTCCCATATGTGTAATAAAATTTTCTCCTGTTTATCTGTTGTCATTTAATTCAGAATTCCCCCTCCATCCTTACCAGTTGAACCTAAATTTGTAGAGGAGTTTTTCCTCTCAACAGGGTTCACAGTAAATTCATTAAAAAAAAAAAGTTAACATCAATAAATAGGAAGACATAACGTCAGAATAAAGAGCAGTACCTTGAACAGTGTATTCAATATCTTGTAATAAACTATAATGGAAAATAATCTGAAAAAGTGTATATAACTGAATCACTGCGGTATACCTGAAACTAGCACAACATTGTAAATTAACTATACTTCAATAAAAAACTTCTTAAAAACTTTTAAGAAAAAAAAGGACAGTACTTTAAATGGATGCATATAGGTTTATGTGTATCACTTGTCCTTATTTTACTCATTTTTCTGTCTACATGTGATAAATTAGGACAGCCTAGAGTCTGGGTTAGCCTTAGGGAACTGTTTCCTTAGTTAATTTGGTTCCCCAGGACTGGTTTCTCTTTATTTAAGTTCCTTCTACAGCTACAATTCATTTTTTCCAGGTAGCTATTTCATGTATTTTTTCAACAAGTATTATTAACCACCTTCTATAAATTAGGCACTGTTTTAGACCTGGGGATAACAAAGTCCTTGCCCGTGTGTGGGTTTTTTTTCCCCCTGGTGGAAGGGAGCAGAAAATAAACAGAAACAAATATATACCATGACAAATAGTGTTGTGAAAGCAGAACAAAAGGTACAAGAAGTATGGGGAGGGTATGGTGATGGTGGTGAGATTGCTATTTAATATATCCTAGATAGGGAAGTCCTTATTGATAAGGCAACTTTTGAGCAAAAACTTGAAGTAAGAGAGCCATCCATGAGGATAACGAGGAGTCCAGCACTGCTGAACTAAATTAAAATAAGCAAAGGAGAGAGTGACAGAAGATTAGATGAGAGCAGGACGTGGAGAGAACAAATTATGCAGAACCCTGTAGAGCACCATCCTTAAGAATTTTAAAATTCTACCTGA